GTCGTGCGTTTCTTGAACTCCTCGATGTGAGTAGTTTTAGAAAGTATCATTCATTCTTGGATAATAACGTTGTCTCTAGGTTGATTACGGTGATTTAAAGATTAATACCTGAGTTTTCCCAAAATGAGAATTTAATTTTGCTTTACATCCTGCGAGGCCATTTCATCCAGGCCTTTTCGACCTTGTCTAGGTCTCAGTGCCACTAGTTGGATTCGATTCCAGGTCGCTTAAATCACCTTAAACGATCTAAGGTGACTAGGTTCTTGTGCATTTTTTTCTATTTATGGCTTACATGAATCGTAATTGATATAAAGTTAGCCATTTATTCGGTGGAATCTATATAATTGGCCCTGTCACGGTCTATGGATTAATCCCACAATCAAAATCGTATTATTAAGAAGAAGCTTCACGACATTAGTTTGATTTTGGGAGACTGAGAGTTTGCCATTTTTATATTGATATCGTTCGCTTTTTAATTCATATGAGCCTGCAACTAATGTTGACCATAACAATCCAACTTCGGTGTTTTCTACCCACAGGTCCCATAATGCAAATCTCCTTTGATGCCTCCAGAAATCTTATCTATACTCGATCAGCCAACTCGCAGCTTACTGTCTACCGTTGTGCTTCCTCGGCAATTCTTGAGGATGCCTCTTCCAAAATAACAAATTCCGATTCAAACTTAATTCGCCTCACTACGATGAATCAATCAGAATTAGCTAATGCTGCTAGTTCAGTAGCTCCTTCGATTGATAAGAAGCGGTTCAAAAAGTTAGTTATTCTGAACGCTAATCCCATAAGATAACTATGATTTTATCTATTCTTTAACCTACTGATTTAAACCACATATTTCCTTACTTCGATTCGCATGTCTTTAGACGAATAATTAAACTTCTATTTAATTATATCATAGATATGGAGGCCAAGATGGTGTGGTCTTTCGTTTGTTCGCAGTTTCCTTTAGCTGTGTAATGTCGTTTGATCTCGTTTTCGCAGCTTGATCGGGGTAACGGAGAGCTTATGGAATGTATCTAGTCCTGCGTCTTCTGCTAGAATACTCATGATTTCCAGCATTGGACCGTCGACTTAGTACATTCCCAGATGTTTCACTGGCATCGTCATTGAGAAGCGCCATCATTAGCGCATAGTTATAATTTATAGAAGTGATAATTGAAGGGTATCTCTAACGCTTTAACAGAAAATGTGTAGTCTTCATTTATCACCTTGATCAGTTGTAACTCTGTGCTAACTATGGCGCCTCTTACTGACACTGCCGAACTAACGTCTGGGAATGTATTCAATCAACGATCCGATGCTGAAAATCATGGATGATATGGCAGAGGACGCAAGATATGATACGTTCCGCAAAGTCTCCTTGTTATCCCCACCAAATTGCAAAAACAAGGTTAAACTAACACTTTTAAAGAATTCCTTTTACTAATAGAGTTAAAGGTGACACATTTTTGTCAGTGCTAGGCCATTTAACTTATTTTATCCTTCCTTATTTCAAGATGCCTAAATTTCTGATGGCTCTTTTCATTATTATAAAACATATAGTTTATTTTAAAAATTCATTAAATAATCTCAGCCAGATGTTGATAAGAACTATATCTGCCTCCGTTTTCTAGTGGCATGATGAGAATTCCTTTAATTAAGTGTCCTTAATTTTACTGTTATTTTTCCTTCATGTATGCCAATCTTTTAATTTATTTGTTCTGACAGCATTGTCTACATCACTCCTGTTCATTCCGACCCGATCCATCTGTTAGTCGTTCTTCAGACCGGTATTCGCTTATACTTAGGCGCCCAGCTTCATTTGCTTCACGTTCGTCTGCCCCCTTCGCCTCGCGCGGTTGTACCTCCTTTTCTACGTCTTGGAACGATAGAAACCCCTTCCAACCTTCCTCTCTCCTTTGGGACTGTTGAGTATGTCTAAGTTTTACGTATCCTTAGGAAACCGACAAATTATAGTCACCCAAATTCATATT